ATAAGAAAATAATAATTAAAAAAAGGAAATTAATTATATTTTCATATAATAAATTTTAAAAGAAAACGAATTATATATTTTTCATTGGTAACGAGTTCAAGAACTAACATTAACAGATTAGTCATGAACATAAAGAAATTTTGAATTGGTTAATAAATAAAGCTTCTAAAATTTCGTATTTGTATATTTTAGAAATATTTAGATATAAGATAATATTAATTTAAATTTTCTTGAGTTAATTTTAAGAATATGTATTTGAGAGATATATTATCGAACAATTATGTTTTTTCATATTGGAAAAGAAGAAATATTGCAAATGACAAAAAATATTTATAATGTGATGAATGATAATGGTAAATCTAGAATGATACGAAGATGATTTATCAAGTTTAGTAATAGAAATCTGTTGAGATTGATAATGATCTCAATATTGATCTAAATTAATCCATTTAAAAATTTCAAAATCGTTAAAAATGAGACAATAACAAATTTTGTATAAAAATTAGTTCTGTCGCATGCAAATAGATAGAGCAATTATTGTATATATAACAATTTTAAGATCGCTAAATGTAAAATTGTAATTGGTCATTGCTCTTTTGTTTTGGAAATGAAATACTTGATACGGAAATATGGAAAACTAGATTGTAAAGAGATATAAGCAAAATTATTATATGATATAATTTTACAAATCTACAAAAATAAAAACGACCTCATAACAACATCGATTCAGATTTGAAATACGCAAATAAATATTAATATAAATTGCTTGCATTTTACAAATTAACACAGAGAGAACAATAGATAAGAAAATGAAAGAATAAAGATACAAAAACAAAAAATATTCTAATTTGTCTTCTTGCAAAGACATCAAGCTTGAAAAGGAATTTTATAATCCATGTAACTAATAATTGTGCATTACAACTAATATGCATTATTTAAACCGGATCTGCTATCTATAAAATAGAAAGCGCGAAAAAATACTACAAATTTTTCATACAATCAGAAAAATCATGAGAATCACCATCAATTGAAATTAATTAATTGAAATACAGTCTTTATTTAAAGTCAACAATTCATCAACTTATGTGTTATCAGCCGACCTGTGTAATTTCAATAAATGAAATTATTCAAAAATAAATTTGGTGAATTATAATTAAGATAACCAAAAGTTGCATTATTTACACATCTATCTTTATCGAAAAAGTCAAAGCGATTAGGACATTCAGTATTATAGGAAACAATTATGATAGCAATGAATGGAAATATACAACATCAAACTCATGCTCATATTAGATATATGTCACATCGTTTTTCTATCTTTTTTTCGTCACGGCTCCACGATTGCAATTCAGGCGAAAGAAGAATATTTAATACACATTGTTTTCCTACATTTAACAAAAAGTTATAATGGATAGAAATTTTCAAAAACATATCGATATGCGATTTAACTGGATATAATGAACAATAAGTTAATAGGATTATATTTTTTATTATTCATTATTTTATATCAACGCGTATAACGTGCTTATCCACATTTTTACAAAAAGAATTGATATTCCTCTCCTCAAAAGTTAATTCAAATATAATATAAAGCTTAATATTTAATGAGGCATTACACATTTTTGAGATAATATCAGAAGAATTTTTAGAAAAAAATGAGAAAAATTTAACAATTAACGAATCAATGAATCAATAAGAATGATTATATTTCTATTTTTCTATATAATGCTAAAGAATTTAGTATACGAGACAATAATTAATGATAGAGACATTCTATAATCGAAAAATTTGTTGCTATGAAGAGAAACAAATAAAATTATTTTATTTTATTGAATAGAAGAAAATGAAACATTTATTTAAATATTTATTATAAAATTTAACGAGAATAAAATATTAAAAATAATATTAGGCTAGTAACTTAATGAAGTAACTTTTTTTTTATTCTATTATATATTTCATTTAATTATTGTAATTTTTAGTACTAATTCAGTGTATTTGATGTTAAAAATATTAATTAAAAATTACTATATTAATTCTTAATATCTGTAGTTTAGATAGAATAGATAATTTTTTAATCATAAGTTATTGTATGCATAATAGGATAAATAAGTTATATATTATATATTCCATATATTTAATTATAATAAATATTTAGTTATATATAAATATTCAATTATCTATATTAGTTAACATATTTGTTGTTGTAACATGTTTGAATGATAATTGATATTTAATATAAATATGAATCTAACACTACAATATAGAGTAATGTTCTGTAAGTTACATTTTTAAAATTCCACAAGATGGATGTGTAAATGAAGATTCTAATTTTTCTGTTAATTATTGTGCTTTTAATAATAATCTAGCACTAAATTCAGATAAAAAATTCAAAGATTAAATAACATCAGTAGTAAAATCATTTATTAAAAATCAAAAGATTTCTATTAAAAGTTGGCTGCATCTAAACACAAAAAGAAATGAATTCTATTGGTAAACTGGCTTTATGCTAATAGGTATGACTATTCTGAAATATATAGAATATTAATAAGCATTTATGGAAGATTTTTATAAAGCCAAAACAAATACAAAAATATCAGTTGTTTATATATTAAGTTATATAAAAAACTTAAATTCACATCAAATACAGCGAAGTAAAAATAAAATGCAAGAACATATAATGGAATCAGAGTAATAACATTCTCACTTTATCTAATGTAAACTTCAATTGCTTATAACTTAAATACTGGATATTAAATATTTTCGTATATCAATTTTTTCTTTTATTCTTTAGAATCGATCTTTCACGAATATATTAATACCTATATATGCTCAATTTTCAATAACAAAATATTCATTTTTTAAATATCTGTTATAAATTAGTTAATAGAAACTGAATAATATTAAACTTATAAATTTCAATTAGAAACTTCAAAAATACATCTTGATTAATACATGTATCATTAATTATTGTTCTTGAGAACGAAGAATTAATAAAAACTTTTAGTTAATATTTAACCTATCAAAATTAAGAATTTCATACTTTCCACTTTCATAGAAAGAAAAAAAATTGGAATAAGAGATTCCTGATATATAAAAGTTTAGTTTAAAACAAGTGTGATTTAGAAAATAAGTAAGAAAAATATTTAGAAGAATAGAATATAAGGGAGGAAAATAGCGCGAGTTACAAAATACAATATGTCAAATAGAAATTCAGCTTTATTCACGTAGTTGCGTGAAAAATTTTTGATGATTTTTAAACATTATCAATTTTAATCATTGATATAAATATCATGTATACTTAATAGCTATTTATTGAATAAAGAAGAATATTGTCCATATTCATAAATATTTATGTGCTTTACGAAACGAAGAATGAAGATTTTTTAATTAAAAAAAATTGCGGGGAAAAAAGATATCTAATTTGGGCTCTAATTTAAAATATAATATAATAATAATATTTTAATAAAACGATTTCACAATCATCTTGGAATCAATGTAATTCGATATTCAACATTTAAAATTCACTTATACATAAAATCATTTAGAGAAAAATCAAATGCTTATAATTTTTTTTTAATATATTTATTATATTTCTGTTATTATATTTCTAAAAAAAAAACTTTGATATCATGAATTTATCATTTTTTACTATAATTTTTTATTATATCTTTTCATTCGTGATAGTTTTTTTTTTCATGATTGATAAAAATGTCAGCGAAATATTGAATTATCGAAACCAAATGAAATCAAAAAATTTAATCATTTTAATAATAAAAAATCGCATTTTTGTAATTTTTGTAATTTTTGTAATCCAATATAAAAAACATTAAATGCAAGTGAAATAGAGATAAAGTTAGCTGATTTTGTTTTAAATTCTGATCTATAAAATTCAACTTGATTAAATTATTATTAGTGATTTTTTTGTATATATGAGAATAACTAAAATAATTATTTTTATATGTACAATAGTAAATAAAACATTAATAATTTTTAATCCGAAATTTTATGTTAGAGTTTCGATTTACTTCTAAATTTTATCAAATAAGTAGATTATACAATCATTATTCATTTATGAACTTAAATATATAAAATATATAATTATGTACAATGAAATCAATTCTGGAAATAAATTTTTTTAAATAACAAATTACATAATACATTCATTGCTAAATTACATAGCAATTTTAAAATTTTACATAAATAATAATTATATTTTTATTATATTTTATAGAAGAATTAAAGAAAGATTTACATTCTTTAAAAAATTATATTAGATTTTATATGAAAATCTATTCTGTGCCTTATTTTTAAATAAGTATATATGGATACTTTTCATCATTTTAGCATCTAAAATCTACTTTCTTAACTCAAAAATTATATATTTTTTTATAAATTTAAAAATATTTTTAAAGATTTATTTTTTAAGTTATAAGCAATATAAGCTTAAAGTTAACAAAATAGAATGAGATAGCTTTCTGTTACACGCTGCCTCATTTTATTTCTGTCTCGCTTTATCTAAAGTAAACCAAGCTACTGTAAATTTAACTTATATGCTTATAATTTAATAATTATAAATCCCAATTAACATTTTGATATATCAATTTATGTCTTTGTTTTGATTTAGAATCGACTTTTTAAAAAATTGTTCTTCCACGAATATAATATCCTATATATATTAATGAATTCTCTGTATTCAATCAGTTTAATATATTAATAATTGAATCATTTCCTTTATACAAACATTTATAATATAAAATGAAATCTCATAACTTGAAAAATTCTTATTCAATATTTCTATAATTTTATTTCGATTCTAAAATCAATTTTTCAAAAGTTTTTTAAATACAGAATACATATTTCAACATTCTTTATATACTATAATATATAATAGATAATGTGTAATATAATATATATATATATGTGTATAGATAAAACTATACTGTAATGTATATTAAATAATATGTATTAGAAAAACATAAAAATGTTTGTATTAAACTTACCAGTATGTTTCAGATCATTATGAATTCTCCAGAAATAGATATATTATTTTTTGCAATTTCAATAAAATCATTATCTAAAAAAATCAAATTAACTCATTATAAATTAACAAAGTGTTAAGCGTATAACTCAATATTCTTAATCATAAATAAGTATTTATCATTCAATCTTAATTTAACATTCATTCATTTAGCATAATTTACATACCATTAGAAAAAAAAGAATAATTTTAAATAAATCTCGTAATTGATAATATAATATTCAACATATATATATAATCCACTCAAAAATATTATACTATTGCCAAATCGACCTAAAACAAAATATTTTAATTATTAATATTATAATAATTGAAGAATGAGAATGTTATAATTAAAGAATGAGAATGTTACACATAAATTTACAATGTGACATAAATTAATACTATAGAGAATTGGAAAAATAGCAATATTATTTAAATTAATAAAGTTAAGAGGAATTTTTTTTGGAATTAAAATCAAAGAATTTTGATCTAAAGCTATAAATGAAGTGATCTCATTTGTCATTACTATCATTAGAATGTCAACAAAATTTCAAAATCAATATCAAAACAAAAACAAAAATCAGAAAAAAACAATAACCGAAATTGATATTAATTGGAAATTTCAATTTAGTTATTGAGGATAAAAGTTCTCTATAACTATTTTAATTATCTTAATATAAGAGTTTTAAATAGTTATTTTTGAAATTACTTCATATCCTCCCTTATTTAAATTTTATATATATATATTTAATTCACACTAATATTATTGTTGTATTGAAATTATGTTACTGTTTCATGCCAATTTTTATACTCTATTACATTCTGTTTAATATTTTAAGATAATTTATATTATTGATTTGAAGTTCAATAAATTGAAAATATTCTACATACACATATATAGAATATATAGGATGATATATATTTAATTTGCAAATATGACAATTTTAATAATGAAACTTTATGCTATATTATCTTTTATGATCATCAAATAATTTTTATAATTTCAAAAAAAATGTGTTACCTTATTATGTCAAATTCATAATCTATAATTTTCTTTTGAACACTGTAATGCCTATTTTTATAAAAAATGAAAAACTAAAGTATGATATAATGTAAATATATAAAATAACAAAATTAGATACCTTATATCATAAAATTTAAGAGAATTTTATGAAATATTATTCCCATATTGTTCAAAAAAAATTTCTTCCTCATATAAATGATATATGCTTCCAATATAGTTTAATCACTATTTTACCCATGCTATAAAACAGAAAAAATTATTAATATAATATTAAATATTATATAATATATATAAATATGTATAATATATATAATATAATATAAATATATATAAATATTAAAAAAATAGAAAATATTATAATGTTACTATTTTATATCATAGGAGACAATAAATGCTTTCATAAATAGTTTAGGACTAACTATTCTTAATTATAGAAATTCAAATTTTTGCTTTTATGTTATCCACACTGACATGGGAAGAAAATACATAACAAAATGAAAACGAATAACAATAAATGATAAAAAAAATATCGTCAAATATGTCAATAACCAATCAATTATCAATGACAAATCATATATGATTCTATTTGGATCATTTTATATGAAATTCTTATTTCAATATTATTTTATTTATTTATATCACATTTTTTAGATATATATAACATAAATTAATAAAATTAGAAAGATCTAAGTTCTATAAATTTGTTTAAATGTAAGAAATATGAAACTTTGAATTTTGCAATTTTTATCGATTTTCGTTTTATAATAACATCTTGCATTACTTAATTTTTATTTTGAAAATTATTTGTTGCTTTTTTTTTTAAATTTAGAAGAATTAGCAATTTTTTTCTAACATTTCTCTACAAAAATTTTTAATATTAAAAAATTATTTTTATTTCATAACAAATTCTTATTTAGCAAATTTTTTCATGAAATTTGCAAGTCAAAAAATTTTTTAAGAAATATAATCATGTTATTTTTAGTTTTAATTCAAAATAAACCAATATTAAAAATTGAATGAGTCCTGAGATTTATGATTTTAAATTTAATTAAAATAATGAAACTTATGAAAAATATATCATATTCATTTTTAATTGTTAGTTTAGTATATTATATTTATTCTAATTTCATTACTATTTTTTGTTATCTAATTATTCTAGTTATTATTGACTGAAATTAATTTATCATCTGTTGATAAAAAACATTTTTTATAAATAAATAATTTAATTTAATAAATATTGTAATTCAGTTTCAAAACGAATTGATAAATTATATTTAACTTCTTGTAATTATTTAAAATTATATTTAATATTTTTAAATCAAATATATCAAATTAACATTGATCAAATAATATTAATTATTTTAATAAAGAAATAGTAGAATATAAAATAACTTCTGGTAATTTCTGGTACAAAAATTAATATTTCAAAAATAAAAGAAAAATTAAAGAAAACCAATTAACTTTTAATTAACTTTTAACTCTTCGACTATTATAGATGCATAATATTATGATACTTAAAATACATAGAATACATTAAAATACATAGAAGGAAAAATAAAAATAGTAATTATTATATACTTACATCATCTTAAATGCTACAAATGATGGTTGCCAATATTTATTTGGAATACTATATATATTTGCAATAACCATAATCATACAGCAATGTCACTCTATAAAAGATAAATAAAAAATGTTTTAAATTACTTATATGCAAATAATTCTAATAATAATTTATTTATATTCTGATAATAATTTGAAATAATAATTTAATAAAAATCATCAATTAAAATGTATAATACAATATATTAATAATATTTTATAATAATAATAATATAATATAATAACAATAATTTAATATAAAATTATTCGAAATTATTATTGAAATATCATTCAAAAGATATATATTTTGTTGTATAACAATTCTTATGTATAAATTCTAAATTCTTGCTGGAGAGAATCGAATAACAAAAATAATACATATTAAAAAAATAATAATAATAAATTCGTCTAAAATAGAAATAAAATATAGAATTCATTATGAACAAAAAATAATTATGACGAAAATTGTGTTAAGAAAAAACAATTGTATTAAAAAAAAGAGAACATCCAACATATTATTTAATTTTGATAAAAAAAATTCCCATTATTATATTCATTATGTTTGATAAAAAAACATAACTATTGATGAATCTCTTTAGATTGGAACATTTTTATGTTAAAATCTGAAAATACATATCTATTTATATAATTTAAAAATATATATTTATTCTCTAGATTCTGAATAATTGATTGAAGCACATTATATACATATATATATAAAATAATGCATACATAATTCAACATTATCAATGTTATGATATCGAAGTTAATGTATAAAAAATAAATTCATAAAAAATTGATTCAAAAAAGTCCATACAAGTGTTAACAAATGCAATTTGAAAATTTAGTTCTGAAGCTATGGATAATTATCAAAAAATTAAAAAATCTTTTGAATGATTTTGATGAAAAATTTAAGAATTATGAAAACTAAAAATATCTATCGTATTTTTATTGAATTTTTTTGAAATTGATATAATTTTACTCTTTTTTAAAAATTATTTTCCGAAATAGCAGAAAAAAAAATAAAATTAATAGAATTGCATAAAGATGAATATCTTAATATTATTCGATAAATTTACAAAATCGATTCTCGAAAATAAATTCTTAAAAAATATAATATGTTTATTATTCACTTTGGGAACATCGTTGCCAATTATTATGCCAATTATTTGATTATGAAATTTATCACATTTAAATATTGTTCAAAATTAATATATCAATATTCAAAGGAATTAATTTAATTAATTATAAAACGAAATGCAATTTTTGAATATGAAATATTAAACATTTAATATCCCAATTAGAATTCGATAAACTTTTTATCAAGTTCAAGTTATAATAGTTTATTAAAATTATTTTTAATCATAATATTTTTAATCGTAAAATAACAAATAATAAATATAGAACATTTGTATGTATTAATACGTACCAATAAAAGTTCACCAAAATTTTATTATATATTCATTATTATCGGTAATCATGTATATTAGTTATTATATTATATATTCATATATATATTAAATATTCATATATTATTAATAATCAAAAATATTTATATTCATTTAAACAAATTTATATAATTTAAATATATAAATATCATATTTTTTATTTAAAATATTTTTAGTGTAATTTTGTATATATATATATACAGCCATACTTTATATACTAATAAATAATATTTTTATTTATACTATATATTTTAATTTATACTTTTATAGAAAAAAAGTAACATTCTTAACATCACGCGTAGCTGAAGAAGTACTGACGCGAATCAATATACGCCCGAAGTCGTTATAAACAAAAGATATTCGTCGCTAAGCAACTGCCTCAGGGACAGTAAGATAGCACAGCAATAATTTCACGTATAAAGATACATACTTATTGAATTTAAAAAAAAGGAAATTGCGATAAATAATTAATATATATTGTAAAATAATTAACAGTTAATAAAATGAGAACAATATTTAAATATTCTAAATTTAATTTAAATCAAACTTGATTAATTAATAATTAATAAATAAAAATTTAAATAATTGTTTTACTCAAAATGTATACGAAAGAAAGCTACAATTCATTAGCGAGTCGACATAGAGCATTTGTTTTTTGTTACTACTATAGCTTTACGTAAACATTTTTATATAATCACTAAACTACTTTTTTCGGATATTTTAGTAGTAGTAAATATTCTAGTTTTTAGGATGCTCGAGAATTTT